TACTTTTCTAGATAAATTACTACTTTGAAGTTATGAAAAGAGGCTTGTTAAAACCAACAGTATGCTAAAGCCAGCATAGTTTTTTATGTGTGCTTTCAATTTAATAATGATGTTAAAGATTCTTCAAACAAGAATCTAAAGGTATTTGTAAACTCAGTTAACTCTTTCAATAATTTATTAGTTATTTTTTCCCTATTGTGGTTTTTATCACTAAGGTGGAAATAGACAAATGGTGTTTACTAATTACACCTCGGATCTCCAATTTCTGCCTAACATAGGCTTTTGTGTTGTAATAAGAAGTACATGATGTAGGAAAAATAGTTTATATTAATTCATCCTAGATTGTTAACTTTGTGTTTGTAAATAGTATTCAGTATAAGCTATAGCATGTGTATTGATAAAATTCTGGGTTAAACTTAACCCAGGAAATACTCTTTTCATTCTGCTTGATTAATATGAAACACTAAAGAAAAATTCAAAAGGAACTAACCAAACACACTTGAGATACAGGATTTTGCATTGGATTTGGATTAGGACAAGGGTGTGGTAGGGTGATGTGTCAGTAAAGTTACTATAGGCTTTGGTCTGGGTAAAGAGAACTATCAGAGAAAATTGATAGGAAATCTGATGCTTACTTGAGAAATCATGAAAATGTGGATTATTCCAGCCTTAGTTCTTACCCTCTCAGTCCAAAGAGTCTTCTCTGTAAATTAACTAATGAGATTTGTTCTTTGATTGTTTTACACATGTATGCAATACATACTGACTAATCTCACCCCAGGAACTCCCTGGTACCTCTGTCTATCCTCTTCTACAAATCTTTTTTCCTCATCTTCATGTCTATTCATTTTGTTTTGTGACCTACTAAGTTTAACCAGACACATCAATGTGACCGTAGATTCGGGACTAACTCCTGTAGCCTGGTGGGCGTAGTAGTAGGTATGTAATTCAAGACAATGACTGCCCTTTCCCAGAATGTATCAATAGTCACTAGTTTAGCAATAAGGGCTAGAGGCCTGTGAGCCCCTTCTATGACTGATTGCTGACAGGTCCAGTCTTTTTGTGTAAGATCTAGTGCAGGGAACTGCAGTTGCTGTGGGTTTGATTTCAGTGGTTGTATCATGGCTAGAGGATGATATACTTTACCATAATTTCTGGCTTTTGCATATTTCCTGCCCCCTTTTCTGCATTGTTCCCCAAGCCTTTGATGGAGGTTGTATAAATATCTTGTTTTAGGACTGAGCCCTCAGCTATGACTTATACTCAGCATCTTGAGCAATCATGAGTCTCTGAATTCATGGGGCTAGAGGGACTCTGTATAGCAGCAGTTGTGACTCAAGAGTCTAGAGGTGGCAGGCTCAAAGAGTCTTATTTTTAATTTTCTAGGCAATATTTATTCAACACCATAATGAAAGTATTCATTCTCCCAGTTAATAAGTTATCAGAGTCTAAACTACATATAAAATACTACCATATAACATAAGAGTGATGCTCTGACCTTTGCTATCATTTAAAAGCAATCTCTATTTTGACAAAGGAGAAAAATAGGGTATAAGTATCCCAAATAATTATTATTGAAAGATTACATGTATAGGATATGATGAAAGAATATGACTGATGACAAAGTTGGAAGAATGTTCTAAAATATGTTCAGAAGCTAATTCTGATACTTACTTGCTTTGTGAAATTCATTTTCCTCATCTGTAAGATGGGGGTGAGAATATCTAACCTCGTTTAAATAACATTTAAAATATTAGAAGTTTAATTTTACTTTTTAATTTAATATTTTTTACATCTGTGGTTTGTAGTGTGTGCATGCTGGCATGCTTATAGCACTCATGCACAGGTCTTGCAAGAGTCAGTCCACTCCTTTCAACATATGGGTCCTGCAAACAGAAGTCAGGCTGTCAGGTTTGGCAGCAGATGCCTTTATCGACTGAGCGGTCCACACTGACCCTAGAGGTTTGAGCACAGGAGCTCATTAAATGCAGTTGTCATTACCAATAGCATATTTAACATAATAATCATTTCTATAAATCCTTTAGCAAGATGAATTATAGTTAGTGAGCAGATGTTCTAATGTAGATGATGCAAATTACCTTTTCAGAGTAAGGAATTTAATAATTATGCTTTAAAGAAATAGGGAGTGTAGTGAGGTATCAGTGAGGCTGGAAAATTAGCAATAAATATAAATTAATAAAGATATGTGCATTAAAAGAAGTAATAGCAAGCCAAATCTTTCACATACAGGCTGCAGAGCTGAATTTTCAAATATTCAGGATTAGAAAGACAGTGACCATTGATTAGAGATTTAAGCTCATCCAGTATTATCATTTGTAAAGGGTTTGCTTAGAATAAAACTGTTCAATTTGTTTTCTGTAAAAATCTTTCTGGCTTAGAAAACTCATTGAATCTTCCTCTTAGATAATACAAACATTCTTTATACAACAATTGATGTGACCAGATATTTCTTTAATATTTACCTATCATTGACCTAGTAATTTTTTTCACCTTGAATTTTGTGTTAACATTGACTTTTCTTTCAGTTTAAAAGGATTTGAGAACAATCAGAGCAGTTTAATTTTTGTTTATGTTGGTTTGTTTTTGAAATGGAGGTCTTACTATGTAGCCCAAATTGGCTTTGAATTAGTTACCTGCCTCAGTCTGTCCTTGTGCTGGGATTACAACTCTGCTAGGCTTTTCTTTTTTTTCTTGTAAGAAAAACTATAAAATTACTGTAATTCCAAAAGAACTCAAAACTACTACTACTACTACTACTACTACTACTACAACACACACACACACACACACACACACACACACACACACACACACACTCTCATTCAGATGCAAACAGTGAAAGAAATTTTCTGTAACATACAACATTGACTTTTATGTTTCTTTTCAATATTTCAGTTCTCTTTTTGTATATGTACTATGTATAATAATTCTTAGATTAAGTGTCTTAATATTTGAATACTTTCCCATGACTACTGTTTTATACTACAAAGGGTAAAAACATTGGAACTTAAAGGGTCTCCTATCTTAAATCCAATAAATAAATGTTCTCTGAAGGAGAAAATTTCCATATTTAAGATCTGATTTTATTTTTTAATAAAGTTTCTGTAAATATGAAAATGGAAAATTCTGTTACTTGTTGATTTGTAATGCAAGAAATCATATTAAGATTAAAACTAGGAAAGGGGTATATATAGATTTATAGAAGAATTCTAATAGATAAAAGTAGCAAAAGGTCTATTAAGTGGCTAGCTGCCTTGCTCTAAAAAATAAAAAATATTTTATTTATTTTTTTGGTTTTTTCGAGACAGGGTTTCTCTGTGTAGCTTTGCGCCTTTCCTGGAACTCCCTCTGTAGTCCAGGCTGGCCTCGAACTCACAGAGATCTGCCTGCCTCTGTCTCCTGAGTGCTGGGATTAAAGGCGTGTGCCACCACCGCCCAGCTAAAAAATATTTTAATATGTTTATCTGTAATTATCAAATGATTTTCAAATTGTGAAGCAAATCATCAGTAAGTTTGTATTTATATCTTTCTTGAACTAGGCACATTATAGAAATCTGATCCTGCATGTCTAGTGAGGTTTGGAGTAGCACTCTATGGCCCAAGTCATCAGCTAATTTACACCGAGAGAATATTATATGATCATCTTTAGGAAGAGAGGTTGCCAGTTACTAGGAAGAGATAAAAGAATTTAATACCACACCATTTTGGAGATCTACAGGTGGCAGGCCTCTTCAGTTCCAAGCGTGGATATACAAGAGAGTACATTCTATGTTACTGTCTTAGGAACTACTAGCTTCTTAGGGAGATCAAAATTATTTCCCTGTTTCCCCTAGAACTAGCAGTGTCTGATACATACTGTGCTAACATCTTTGAGGAACTTTCATTTGTTTCGTATTGTAAAAGTTGCATATGAAAATAATTTTATTTTATACTTTAGAAGATGGATATACTCTTTGTTGTTGTGGATATATGCTTTTAGTTGTAGGCTCTAACTTCAGAATTGTAATTTTGAAAGTCCATTATACATTAAGGTAATAACAGATGCAAAACCTACACTCAGTTTTGGAAAGAGTTGTAGAGAGAGGAGAAGACCTATCAATAGTGTACTTTTGGCTAACATGGCACATTGTGTATTTTTCAAACAAAACTTTGAAATTAGCTTATAATAAACTTAGAACTAGAGGTGCATGTTTTTTCTGGATTTCTGTTTGATATATTTTGTGCAGATTGATGGGTTGTTTATGGCATTTTCCCCCTCCTCTCTTCAGAGTGATCTTTACTTATGCTATAGGTTCCTCCAAGGTGAGGAAGTATATGGAGGGGCAATTCCAAATTGCACTGTGTATGACCCTTCTGGGTACTCTTAAATGTGAGCAAATGCTTTCTGTCACTGTGCTAATCTAGTGTCTTTTAGTTTAAGCATAAGTTAAGAACAACAACAAAATCCAGAAAGTGGGACTGTGAGGTTATTGGTGCCAAAAAACCCATGGTGAAGAGGGATAAAGCTCCAAGTGTTGGAACCATAGAAGGAGGGAGTGAGTGTCTTTGCTCAAATTCCTGTATAGGAGCTGAGTTGAGTTTGCCTTGCTCCTTGGACATGGTTTCCTGGGGAAGTCTTTACTTTTTTGGGTCAGTGGCCAAAGTAGAAGTTAGCCAGGAGTCTGACAGGCTAATGGGAGTGAATGTCCAGGATGGAACTTGATGCTAGACTCCAGGGGTCTGGGGTGCAAGGGCTACTGCTAGGACTTTTGGTTCTGGCTGATAAGGAAAAACTGCCAGACTGCTTTTTCAGGGTCGTCATGTCTCTAATGACCACTGCTTGATCGTGCAAGCAGGTTGCTGGGTCTAGGGCTCAAGCTCCACGGCGGCAGCAGTCTTAGGGCGTGTTTGCAGCGACCACAGGGCACATAGCCTGCTGTGGGAGGGCGGGGTGGCTATGTCGGTTGTGGGGCATGCGCGGCTCTGCGCGCGGCTTCTCAAAAATGGCGGCGGCAGTGTGAACTCTGGTGTCTGCTCCGGGAACTAGCATGACAGAAGTTTTGTTGCTAGGGCGGAGGAGACCCGAGGTGCGTGGTGCCCCCGGCCCCCCATGGGGAGTGGAGACTAAGTCCTGGTGTCGGAGTCCTGATGGCTGTCTGCAGGGCGGGAGGTCGGGAGCCTTAGGGGCACGTCCTGCGCTAGGAACGCCCCCTTACTGCCGCGCCAGCGTCCCGCCTCAGTTTGTCCAGACACCCCTGTCTCACACTCCTGGACGCTTTACCCCAGATGCCACGGCTGCTGTGTCTCACTTAGTGTTTACCGTGGGCCACCTCGGCTGCTAGCGCACAGTGCTGCCCTTCACGCTGGCTCGGAGTCCCTTCACCGGCCCGTCTTGCCGGAGGCATTCTGGCCCCTGGCCCAGCTCCCTCAGAGGGCCCCTCTCCTGCAGTGCCGACAGCGCCCTCTGCAATTCTCCCCAGGGTAGGTGGGACCAGGCTGAAGCCTGGGGGCTTTGCGGGTGGGTAGTATGGCTGAGGGGCACGGATGACTTCGTAAGGTTTGGGCTCAGACCAGAATTTGCTAGGTAACTTGGATTTTGGGAGGGGACGTCAGCATAGAAAGATGCGCCTGTGGCCTGGAGCCCGCGCGGGTCCAGTGCCAGGTGTGTGCCTTGGGGCTCCTCGAGGGGGGTGGGGTGGGGTGGAGGGTTGTTAGCCAGCAAGAGTGGATGCCTCCCGGATGAAGCTGGATGGGAAGGCATAGACAGAGGACTCCTGCAAGGATTTAGGCGAGGGGATGTAGTCAGTCAAGGTTTGAGTCTACTGATCACTGTGCCTTTCATTTTAAAACAGCTCTGTTAAGGTTCCTCTCCTTTATTTATTGATTTTTTTCTTACCCGAATAGTACTTGTACTCCAAGAGTCCGAAGAGATATTAGGAGAATTTGGAATTTGATCCAGCTTTGTGTGTGTGTGTGTGTGTGTGTGTGTGTGTGTGTGTGTGTGTGTGTGTGTGTCTGTCTGTCTGTCTTGAGCAGGGAAAATATATTTTGGTATATGATATTCAAAAGTATTGGCGATGCCTTTTTTCTCAGAGAGCTTCAGCTGTTGCAATTTCAATGTTTCCAGGGACATTATTATTTTCAGTTTGAGGGAAGAATATTGGAAGATGTACTTGAGTACAAGGAGGTTCCCCCCCCCCATATAGTAGTTCATTGGCATATACTTAATTCTAATAATTGCTTTGAAATGTTTTTTTTTTATTTTACAATACAATTCAGTTCTACATATCAGCCACGGATTCCCTTGTTCTCCCCCCCTCCCGCCCCCTCCCCTTCCCCCCAGTCCACCCCCCATTCCCACCTCCTCCAGGGCAAAGCCTCCACTAATGACAATTTTATCTTTTTTGCTATTCTTTTTTCTTCATTAAATAACCTATTTGTAATGATGGGTGTCCTTTTAAGCTGGTTGTGGTTTTCTGTATTTAATGGGAAGAATGTGGAAATAAGCTTTCGAAAGTGTGTCTAATTAAGATTTTGAGAAGACAGTGAGTTTGTTACCTTACATTGATCTATAGCTTTATCATCTTTAAAATAGTCTGAAATTTATAAAAGGATATAGTCAAGTCATTTAAAACTGCTTTGAAAATTTTGAATACTGTGTCCTCTAACCGTGTAAGTTCCTTATGCGCCTGTTTACCTCAGAGAACTGCTTTGCTTTATAATTGTAGTTAGGGGAAAAAAGAATACTGTAACTGGTATTGCACTATCTATATGAGGCTGTTTTTAAATTGATGATGTCATAAATGTACCCAGTTGCTCTTAAGCATCTATTCTTACTTGTCATGAGGCATTTGATCAGCCTTTTTGATTTATCGCTCAGTTAACAGTTCTTCATTAAGCACCTGTGCGCTTTTATTTTATGGAATTCACCCAGTTCGAGGTATATTTATTCAAAGCCCATTATGTGTTTTATTTTCTGGATATTTAAGGCAACCACCCCACCAGTAGTACTTTATTCCTGTATATTTCAGTGTTGCTAAGAAAATCATAATTTATGTAGAATAAATATTTCTTTGCTTAATGGACAAACTCGAGTATTTTTGCCACTGTTCTTTACATTCTGGTTGTAACCAAAAATTATTTCTGATTAGGTCTGTGGGAGACGGATATTTTGCTAGTATTAGTTGAAATCAGTATGCACATTGGAAGTTGGGTATTTTTAAATGCTAAGCAAGTACACATTTATGACCAAGTAGCTTAGGTTATAACTAGATTTGAAAAGTACTTTTCTTATTTCAAAATTTATCTTAAATCTCTCTAAAGCCAAAATAATAAGGATTATGATAGTCAGTTACAGGCTAGATGTGACTCTCATTTTTTTTGAGTTTGTTCCTTTTTAGCTGCCTGCCTGTTCCTCCCAGATGCTTCCTATCACCCCTTTTCCTGCCCATGTTCTCTTCTGTTGGTGTCTGTTTCCGCATTAGTGAAATGGTCTGGGTAATCCTGGGCTGTCTCACTAAGAAATAATTGATGATGGTAAAGTGCCTTAAAAAGGTTGAGTAAATACTAGGTCTTTTGAATGAAAATGACTTATCCTCTTGTCCCATTATAAGTTAGTTCCAAATACAAATTTTTAGTTGAATTCTTATAGGGGGGGATATTTTACTTGAAATTTTTATTGCCCCTACCTTTGGGTTAAGTGGAATACTGGGGTGGTTGCGAGATGATCCTCTGTTCTTTGAGCTACTAATCACCTTTTAGAAACAAAGTCATTATTAATGTCATAGAGTTAGTACATGGGATCTCCAGATTAGAAGTGATTGTAGAAATAGAAAACCTGGAAATTTGACAATAGTCAATGTTGGTCATTTTAAAAGTTTACCTTTCATGGATAGTTTTGATACTCTTTTTAGATATAGAAGAATGCCAATTTCATTTATCTTAAATCCAAAGTGGTATCATTTACTTATTTAATTTTATAAATATAGGAATAAAATTAGTGTTAAATATGTTTTCCACACTTAGTATCTTGGGTTTTGGTTACTTGAACCATAGAAATGCCTTTACAACTAATGTCTCATTTGCAAAAAGTCTAACAGAAATGATAGTTATTTAAGCGGGATAACTTGAATAAATTTGAAAAACTAAGATTTGAAATGGGCATATATTGTTTGGTTTTCATGAGCAAGGCATTTTTGTTTATTTTGTCTTTGTTATCTGGTATAAGTAAACCTTGGTAGCCATAGAAATAATAGTGATGGTGTTTATATTGTGATTTCTATTAAACATAATGTCCCTAAATCTTTCTCCTGCTTTTGTTTTGGGGCATGTGGTGAGATGTTTTTAACAAGAAATGAGGAGTAACTTACTATGTGAAAAGTTAAGTGATTTTCAGTTCACACAGAAGCTTGATATGATATGATGGTGTTTGCTAGACTAGATGAATTCTTTAAAGAGTTAAAAAGTAAACTTGTTGAATTTTTGTGTGAGCAAAGAGCTGGGAAATATTTGAAAGTAGAGAACACTTAACTCCCCTACTTGTGACTTGTGTTTATGGCTGTGGTTCTGCCCCTTCCTAAGTTTATAGGACCAAATTGTTCTAAGAGCGGAAAGAGAGTGCTCACCTTTTGTAGTAATTTGCCATTGTAAACTCCAAAGGGACAAACACAGTGCAGTTCTATGATATACTTGAGGATACGTTCGTTTGATTGAAAAAGCTTGTGTGTCTTGCTTCTTGTCTTCAGAATACACATCACAGTTTTCACAACTTTTGTTTCTCAAAAGGATTAGCTAGTACAGAATTCCAGACATAAACAACTCTCTTTGATGTGTACCTTGTAGCCTTTAGTAGTTATTTAAGAATGAATACTGTCAGAGTCCTTGGTTTTTAATATTTGGTCATGTTTCCTACATTTCATCAGTTTTAGCTAGCTTTTATTTTGATTTATATATACTTAAATTCAAACACTAATCCAAATGTATTTAAGTTCTCCTACTTTTGAACACAGAAATATTCTTGCTGTGGAGCTGTTGACTTTTTTATCTTTGAAAAAAATTTAAAGGGTATTATTTGGAATGTTTTTCGTTATACTTTAAAGTTACTTGGAAGTAATGTCCATATTCAATTTTTAATTAACTTGGTAGAATTTCATAAATATGCTGAGATAAAACAGTCTTTGTAGTCATTATTGAGATAAAATAGCAAATAGTGATAAATACATGTGTGTATTACTTTGCTTTAGATTATTTTATAACCAGATTTTTTTCATGTTTAGATTTCAGAAGTTATAGAAATATTTAAATGAGTAGTTTGCAGATACCTGCTACATGTTTGAAGTATTGTCAGGGATGTTTAGTTTTCTAGTCACTTTAGATTGTAGTTTATTGCATGCTTTTCTACACTCTGTTGTTCAGTAGGCACTGTTGTCATCATTCCCATTATTTCGTGTTGGACTGGTGTTAGAAACCATAAATCTAGGCTGTACTGATAATAGAAGCAGGCTGTAACTTGATCTACTTCTTTTGTCAAAGTATAACACCATGAGCTCCCTGTAGTAAATTGACATGCCATGCCATTAACTCTAGCCCTTCACAAATGTCGGTGGGCAGCAGGTCTTTGGGCAATTAGCTTGTGGCTGTGCTTTCCTTAGGAATTTACAACTATAAACTGGAATTTTGGCAACCCTTGACTTGTATTTCATTTATCTATTTTCTGATATAAAATGCTACCTAACTATGGACAGAACTTCCACATAAATAATTTTAAAATGACAAGTGATTCTTTAACTTGCAAGTTATAATTTTTAGATAACTTAAAAATATGATTCTTGGATTTTTTCTTTCTTTTTCTCCATTCTCTCTCCTCTCTTTTTCTTTCTTTCTTACACCAGGGTGTCATGTAGCTCAGGCTGACCTTGAACTCCTCATCCTCCTGTTTCCACCTTCCAAGTGATGTTGAATTTGTTTTGACACACAAAAGACTAATTTCTAATATGTTGGGGGTAGATCTTGCTAAAAGATTGCTAAAATCTTTCCTATAGAAAATGTTATTTCCTTTGGAAGATTCAATTTGATGCAAAAGCTTACTACCATAATACTCTAAGTATTGGTGAGTGATAAACGGAATTTTTGTTCCATTTTATTCTTAGCAGTATTTTACGTTTGAGACACAGTAAGTCTCCCTATTTGCCATCTTCTTGACTTAGCTTCTCATGTGCTAGTATTATAGGAGTGTGTCACCATGACTGGCTATTTTTAAATGTAGTTGTGCAATTTAGGTTTTTTCTACTTACTTTCATTTATGTAAAAGTGGGATTTTTGATTATTTTAATAACTTGGGTGAATTAAATCCATAATTGTGAAGTCTTAGCATGATGAATCATGAGAGTCACCAAGTAACACACAAATAATATACCTTTTCCGTCTTTCTTTTTAGGATAGCCGTTAGTACTGCAAAATCTTAGTTATGAGAGTGCTTTTGTCAGAGAGAAGCATGTTGCTACAATATATTTGAATTAAATGAAGACTTATTTCAAGTCCATGAAAAACTTAAGTGTATGTTTCATGCTTTTAAATCATATTTTTCATTCTTGCATACTGTGTGGACAAAAGATTTTTGTTTTAGCTGAAAATATTGGCTTTATAAATTTTATAATATACATGGATAGAATTCCATTGGAAGACTATTGACATGTGGAACTTTGAAAGTGTATATAAACTACATACTTTCAAATTTATGTTGCTTATGTGTTTTTGTGTATGTTATTTTTTAATTGGGAGGATAAACAACAGATAGCTAACAGCATGTATTTCTTGAAAGTGGGGTTATAGGTAATTTTTCACCCTCTCACATTTACTTATCTGTATAATTTTGAGGAGAGTATGTTCAATTTTTTTTTAAAGAAAAAAAAATCCAGTTTCTAGGAATATACAAGGCTGGCTCAGTGTGGGTCCAAAAGTTTTGCCAGTGTTAACTTACCTTAAAGGGAAAAATGTTTGTGAATATTTATCTCACAGTTATTCAGCACAAGGTGACAATGGTTTGAGTTTTGCTAGACTACTTCTCTGATAATTTCTAGAGAATAGTTTCTCTTTTGCCAATGAAAGTATTTGATCATTGTAAACCTGTGTATTTAACCTACCCCATTTATTTTGTTTCTGTCTTTATGTTCTCATTTGTTCAAGACTCTAGATTGAGTGCTATACCTACATGGTTATATCTCATTTTCATGGCTACATGGTATAGTCTAAGAAATGTTAGCTATAATTTAATATCAGAAAACCTCTGAGCCATCTCTACAGCCTTGAATCTTCTTTTATTGTCTTGTGGACTCATGCACCTTGTAGTTCTAGCTGGTATCAAATAGTCTCCCCAATTGATTACTCTAGTCTGACTTTTAGAGGTAAGGTCAAAGAGAGATGAGTAATGTTTTGATTTGTGTATGTATGGGTACCTCCTGAAGCCTTGAGCGCTGAGAGAATATAGAGTGACTTGAGGACCAAGAAGAAGCCTGATCAACAATGGATTTCATAAAGCTAATGGTAGAGACTGAAGATTCTTTTGTGTCTTCAGTCTGAAATTCCACTTTGTTCTTTATCTGCTCATTGAAACTGTCAGCTGTGTGAATGACTCACAATCACCCCCCATACACACACTGTATGTGTGCACACGCAAATATAACCTCATGATTTTACTGTCGTCATAACAATGATGAAGCTTAGAAGTGGATCTCTTGACCCTTTCTCCTCTTAGTATCCTCTTTATAGCCAGCATTCTCTTAAATCTGCAGTTGGGTTCCACACATTCAAGCCTCAGTATAATCTTTTTTGTGTGTATAATTTTTTGCCTCTTTCTCCTTGGAAAAAATTGTGTAAGATTGTCCACAAAGCCACTTTATTTCCTGTCACAACACCTCTTTTCCTGGGCATATAAGGAATCCTTTTCCTGCTTATTCTATATAACTCTGGGGTTGGAGCTTGCTTCATTTGTTACACAAAGCCTGGTGGGTTTTAGGAACATTTATCATGTTTATAGGAGTGTTCTAAGCACACAAAAAAATGAAATTATCTTTGTTATATGATAAATTCAAGAACCTTTTTTATTCCAAGTTAATTGTACTTTCTGATAATAGAATATCATTTCAACCCTTCTTAATGCCTATATTTTTGTTTTGTTTAATAATGCTATTTTCCTTCTGTGGAATTCTCAGCTGTGCCAGCTTTTTCTTTTGGACCACCAACCAGCTCCCATATCATGACACACAGACTTACTAGTTTTTAATATTCGGCCTAGCTTAGGCATGTTTCTGGCTAGCTCTTTTAACTTAAATTAACCTGTTTCTCTTTATCTACTTTTTGCCTCAGGGCTTATTACCACTCTTAATTCTGTGTATCTTAATTTCACTGCTTCTCTATGTCTGGGTGGCTGGCGTCTGCCTGACTTCTTGCCCTGGACGTTATGTTCCTTGTTCTCTCTTCCTTCTCTCCTGTTCTTCCTCTCTCTTGAGCCTAGATTTTTCTTCCTACTTATTCTTTCTGCCTGCCCAGCCCCACCTATCCTTTCTCTGCCTAGCTATTGTGCATTCAGCTCTTTATTTGACCAATCAGGTGCCTTAGGCAGGCAAGGTGAAACAGATGCAATGTATCTTTACATAATTAAACATACATCCTTACATCATTGAAAAATGCAGCATAAACAAAAGTAACACACCTTTACAAAGTTAAAGTAATATTCCAGAGCATAAACAAATGTAACACATCTTTGCCTAGTTAAAATAATAATCTATAACACTCAGTTTTAAAAAAGATAGCGTGTGTGCATGAGCCTGCCTGCCTATCTATTAACATGATTTGTGTTTATGCTCTTGTCTGTCTTATGCTCTTGGCATTCAGAAGATGGCTTCAGATCTTCTGGAACTGTAGTTACAGCATCTGTGAACTCCTGAACATGTTTTCTGGGAACTGAACTCCAGTCCACTGACAGAGCGCTTAACCACTGAGCCATCTCTCTATCTTTCCTGCCATTCTTTCCTTCCTTCAGTTACAGGTCTTGCTAGTTAGCAAAGCTGGCTTCAACTTCATGATTCTCCTGTTTGAGCCTCCTAAGTGCTGGGATTATAGGCATGTTCTCCACTGCTACCTCAGAGTGTGTATCTTCTGTCCACATTGTACCAAGTACATCATAGGAATTATATCAATATTTGTTAAGTAAATGAATAAATCAAATCTGGTATCAGATACTTGTATTGAATAAAGAAACACGAAAGCTTTCAGAAAATAGGTTGTATTTATTGATGGTCTCAAAGTACTGGTAGTATTTCAAAAAAGCAGAAAAGGAGAAAAGGGTATTCTGTGTACTCAAAATAAGATGAGGAGTCATTGAAACAATCTTTTTGGATTAGTGTATAGGGTGTGTTTGAGTGATATATGTCTGCTAGTTTTGAAATTGTGGAGGATCTAGTGTTAACCCATAGAAAGGTGTTAACCCATAGAAAGGTGTAGACAGAAGTTTCTGTCCTGCCCGGTCCTGCAGCCATTCAGTCCCAAATAAACACACAGAGACTTATATTAATTACAAGCTGTTTGGCCTATTGCTCAGGTTTATAACTAACTAGCTCTTAACGCTTAAATTAACCCATAATTCTTGTCCATGTTTAGCCATGTGGCTTGGTACCTTTTCTCAGTCCAGCATTCTCATCTTATTTCCTCTGCATCTGGCTGGTGACGCCATCTTTCCTTTCCTCTTCTCAGAATTCTCCTAGTCTGGTCTCCCTGCCTATACTTCCTGCTTGGCTACTGGCCAGTCAGCATTTTACTAAACCAATAGGAGTAACAAATCATTAGAGTGTACAAGAGCATTATCCCACAGGAGAAAGCTCTAATTTTTTTCTTAATTGCATAGCCAGTTGAAACAGGACGGTGATTTGGGAGGAAAACAGCCCAGATTATATCTGACATTATGTATTATTATGGTAGAAAAGTACAACAATGACAAAACAATTTGAACAGCTGTGTTACTACACCAGGTAGAAGTGAATGAAAGTATAAGCCAGTGAGTATCAAGGGGAAGGGAAATTAGGTGTGTAGTCTATTATTGGCCACTGAGTGAAAGTAGAGATGCACAGCTAAGTATTGAGAGAAGTATTGGTATTGGTGAGAGAAAACTATCAGAAGAAGCAAAGTTGTGGGAGTTGAGGCTTTAAATGCAAATAAATCTCTTGGGTTAGAGATATAGAAGTCTTTGTGGGTAACTTCATAAGTATATTCCCTTAATTACCAAATGATATTCAGTCTATATACCATCACATCATAACAACAGGCATATAGTGTTGGCATTCTGTATTGAGATTTTCTATGCACCTGATATTTTTTTATAATGCTTATTCTGTGTTTTATTAATATTTTGATTTTGGCCTTGATTGAGCTCTTCTGGTAGAAGGACAGTCTAATAAATATATTTGTTTTAGAGTATGGGACATGTTGAGGACATGCAGGAAAAAAAGTCAAACTAATTAATAGTGGTTTAAATCTATCAGGCCTCCTAATAAGCAATGTGCCCTAAAATTAATTTACTTGAATTTTGAGACAGAATATCACTATGTAATCCAAGATGACTTTAAATGTAAGATCCTCCTGCCTCAGCTTCCTGAGTGCTGAGATTATAGGCCTGTACCACAGTACTTGCTTGGCTCTTAACAAGTAATTCTTGTTAGGAGATTTGATTCATGGAACCTCATTGCATTCATGATTTTTCTACTTCCCACCAACATTACGTGGGCTCTGGTATGGCCTTAAATCGAAAGTTAGTAACTGCCAACTTACCATCATCTCTGATTTACCCTTTCATTTTTGATACCCTAAAATGAAGCCCTATACTTACCCATGTTTCATTAGCAATTATTACTCATACACTCTTTTCTAGCTAATAGCTACCTTATTTTATTGAAGTGATCTGACTCTGAAACTCATTTTTGCTACTGTTACCTCTCAGAAATTTATGGTACTTAAAATAAGGCATTAATTGTTTTCCTTTGTAGGAAAGTAAAGCAGAAGAGAATACCATGGGACAAACAGTGAATGAAGGTGAGATTTGCTTATCTAAAGATAATTTTTAGTTGTTTGGAACAAGTATCTTACTATATACTAAACTTGTGAGATAAAGCCTTTAAAATGTTTTAACAAATAACATTGAAGAACTACCTGCAGAGTTACACCCTTTTCCTATCGAATACTGTCTGTTTCTAGGATTTTCCTCCTAGGATTATTTTCTTTTGCATATTTGAAAGAAGAAATCCTTTCTTAGATTTCTCTTTAGACATATTGACAACTGAGTAGAGTACAGCCTTCTTAGAAGCTTCTTTATTTAGAAGATAATCATCAAGTAATGAAGGGACTAAAAGGCTCCTAATCTCAATAAACTCTTTGCTACACACTTGGAATTCTTATATTTGTTTCTTGAAGTCATTTTTATTGCCCTTACTTATTCTGTTGTCCCTTAGGGGGTTCAAATGAAGTCTTTTTTAAAAAATGATTTTTATTTTTACTTTCATGTGTATGTGTATGTCTGTGGGTATGTGCATGTGAGTGAAGTAGCCCATGGAAGACAGAAGAAGGCATCAGATCCCCTAGAGTTGTAGTTTCAGGCAGTTGTCAGCCACCTAAAGTGAGTACTAGGAACCAAACTTGGGTCATCTGCATGAGTAATAAGTGCTCTTATCAGCTGAGCTGTCTCTCTAGCCTCCAAATAAAATGTTTTTAGTTTTAGGTTTGTGTTTTATTGTTTGTTTTGTGTTTTGTGTTTTGTTTTTGTTTTTGTTTTTTGATACTAGAGATAAGTACTTAGAATTTTCCACCCTAGTTTTATAAATAAAACTAGAAGTCTTAGAAGCAACAGAACAGGTCTTAAAATACCCTTTTTACAAAGCCAAGGTAAGAATAGAAATATCCTGGGCTAGGGATGTAATTTTGGCATTAAGAGTACTTGCCTAGCATGTGAAAAGCACTTTTCAGGTCACCCCAGCAAAAAAAAAGAAAAGATTGAGAATAGTAGAAAATAGGAACTAAAAAAGAACTAAATATAATTCAGTTCTTTTAACTGTAAAATCAATGAATAATTCCTTCACCCTGTCTTTCTGTAGATAGAAATCTGCTTATTGACTCACTAATGTGCCAAACCTATTGATATTTTGTTGCATTTTATTTGCTAATACATTCTTCACACATTTGCCTTCTTGTTCTTTGTTCAAGTCTTGTATATCTTATTGCTTTTCTTCTGATTACTTGTTGAGTGATGAATGCTCTCCTTTAATTTTGTTTAGTTTATTAGTTTGTTGACCTTGGTATAGCATTTATAAATAGATTATTGGTTTCCCTAGAACAAGACCCATGCCATTAGATTTTTGTCGTAGACGTTCTTACCATAGAACTATTTAGTAAGTTTTGTAAGTGTGTGATTTCTTCAGGTAATTTGAACAGAAGATGGCTATATATTTCTCTAAAGTATTCATATACCTTGAAGAATTTCTTAATCAAAACCTGAAAGACATGTCAATATGGGAACTCCATAAGTCCTGAGATTCAAGCATTCATACTTAAGATAATGAAGGCAGTTTGAAAAACAGTGATACTGTTGATTATTTGATGATATTAAGAACTTAGGATAATTTTTATCATTATATTTTATATTTCTTTTATATATACTCTAATTTGTCTGAGTGAAGTGATATATTTTAGATTTGGTGACATCTCAAGGATTTTGAGAACCCGTTGAAATATTTAGTTTATCATAGAGAAAAACCTAAGTATTTCATTGAAGTATATTGTACTCTATTCTAGCTGTCATGTAATGTTTTAAACACTTGAAAACATCACTTTATTTCTAGGAAATTATTTTAAGCAGTTTAAGGATTCACCAAAAGTTCATTTAGATTGTTGGCACATTCATTTAACAAATGCTTGAGAGCATTCTGTATTCCAGATCCTGGTCTATGTTGTAAGCATATATTACTGAGCAAGACAGACAGATTTAAATACCTGCTTTTATGAAGCTCTCATTTTAGTAGTGAAAAAATACAGTAAAGAAAATGCCCAAGTAAATTATAAAGTGTAGAATACACTAGAAATTGTTAGGACACATAGAAAATGAAGATAATCATAAAATTTAAATAGGTTCCCATTTAAAAATTAAATTTAATTTTATAATTTTTGAAGTGCTCTTTAAGACTATTCCAATGTTATTTTCTTTCCTTTTGGTTAGAATCAATGGATGCCAAGAATGACAATCAAGAGAAAACTACTCATTCAAGTACATCTTCTGCACAAAGCAGTAAGTTTTTAAGTAATTTAATACATCATTTTTTTCCTTCAATGTTATAATGAACTCATGTAGCTTCTGGTATAGTATGTATATACTAACTTCCAATACTGTAAAATCTTAGTCATTGAAAGGGCAAACAATTTACTGTGACATTTTAACTTTAATTTCATTTAAAGATGATAAATGTTGCATGAAATTACAACTGTATATTTAAGTGCAAATTTGTCCAATTTTTAATGATAGAAATTTTTCATTCAAAATTATCAGACTTTTTATTTAAAATGTGATTACTTAATCAACTAGGCAATTACATGAATATATTTTCAGGATATAGACCCTGGCATTTCATTTTAGTAATCAGTGAGGCATTGTTTGAGGTAAAGGTTTTGTTTTGTTTTGTTTTAGCTGATGCATCTGTAGTACTTAGGATAATGCTCGACACATATTAATGGCTCATGTAATCTAGTACCAAACAGGACAGATATGATTCCTGCTTTCTCTGATCTTAAGTGGGCTGGTAGATAGTAAATGCCTAATTATAGTTGTAATAAATGCTATGAAGTAATGTATGCTGTTTATTAAACTGAGAGACTTCATCTAAGATATTTTCTGCTCATTGTCTTCACATAGCATATGAACCCAGGCCTGGCACTGACTAGTAAAAGACATTATAATTCTGATTCACTATAGAGAAAATCAAGGAGGTTGATAAAAATTATATTCCATGTGCCAGAATGTATTAGATCTAATGTATAAATTAGAATGGAGTAAAGGCTAATATGAAGAAGGACTCCATGAATGTGTATGTGTGTACAGTAGTCAGATCACACAGTCATGTATTTGCAACCATCTTTTGAAGAGGAAAAAACTTCAGGTTGACTTTTGGTTGCTGGTTAGGAATTCCAACTGTGGTGTTAATGTAGTTGTTAGGTATGTTAAATCAAAACTATTAAATTTTGGATCCATGTGTGTTTTCATTGTGTTAATGGTAGTGATTATCACATGAGAAGCCAAGAACAATTTTGTTAAGGCAAAGTAAGTCTCTCTTTGGTATATACTAAAGATTGTCATTGGCTAACAATATGATAGGAAATAATAACACTAATAGAACACTACTGGATAGGAATTGGTAACAGATTATAACCATGTCCGATACAAGTGAAGATAGAGTATTTAAATTGTGTTGCTAAGGGTTTGTTGAACATACCTGTATTTCCCATACTTGAGAGACTCAGGTAGGAAGATTGAGTTTGAGGTCAGCCTAGACTATGTATGTAGCAAGACTTCATCTCAAACAAAATTTTGTGTTGATCAGATACGTTAAATATTTTCTCATTTCATTTAAAACTTCACAGATACTGTTTCAAAGAAGAGTATTAACTCTCTGAGGAATAAATGGGAAGAGATTTTAGTCATTGTTTTCCTTTTGGGTTATCATAACTGTAACTATATCTTGGTCTTTTTGTTGTTTGTAATTCATGTTTTACTTTGTTCTTTTTTAATGCTCTGTTAGATCATGTGGTATTAGAGCTTCAATTAGAATTGTAGCATTTCTGATTGTTAGGAGACAATGGTAATATTTTGACAATTTAATAGTGGACTTGTGGATCTCAGTTTTTACTTTTGACAAAGCTAAGTATTTACACCTTTAGGGACAGTTTTAACATCAATCTTTACAATACACTATTTAGTGCTCATGGGTGTCACTTCATTTAATTCTAAACACATGTGGTACCATAGATACTAATTTCAAATACTGTAAATAAGGTAGCTGTTGCAGAGAGGGTGAAATGATGTGCTCAAGGTTATATAATAAGAGGTAGAACCGTAGTGAAAACAGGCAGCTCTGCCTCTGAAGTGCATGTTCTTGACACTTTGCTTCATGATTTTCAACACTGTGGTGGTACTCACTTTACATCATCTGAAAGCAGGATCAAACTGTAGTTTTAGATCATTGGCTGAGTTTTCATTAAAAATTCTATAATCTTATATATGTGTACCACACATGCATAGATATGTAAATACTTATGTTTTATGGTATACAAGGGATGGCTCTTTCTGACTTGGAGCAGCTAGTTGTGTACATCTTTCCTCATCTTTGTGCTTAATGGCTTTGGTTTGGCCTACTGCAGTCAGCCATGGTGTCAATATTTATATTAGAGAAATCTGCAGATACTTATAGTCAGGTTTTTTATTTGTATTTTCTAGAAAATTGATTGGTAGACAATCTGTATGTGCAGACAACTGTACTATCCTTTGAAGGATGTAATAGTCCTTCCCTTGGGGGAAGTATATTCCAAGATTCTTTTCTGGTAGATGCTTGAAACTGGATAGTAATGTATGCTTTACATACAAATATATAATAATGTTTGATTTATAAATAAGACTTAATAAGACATTGATAGCTATTAGCATAAATATCTGGAAACTCAACATACCGTTTTTCTTTCATTGTTGAGAGCCTTCACCTTTCCATTTAATGAAAGAGTAGCCCTTTATGGTTTCTCTCTGGCATATCTGAATTACCAGCATCAGTATTCTTGCACTTTGTGGCCATTGTTAAATTGAAAGCAAGATAAGATATTTGAACAGTTTGTTACCTTAGCAGGCAGTCTGATGACAAAAGTTGTTACTAAGTGATTAACAGGCTGGTTGCATTCATGGCAGAAGTCTCTTGAGTGGGATAGAGTGTGACTATATGAGATTTCATCACACTACTTACAACAACTGTATAATTTAAAACTTATGAATTATCTCTGGAATTTTCTCTTTAATATTTTGGACTGCAGTTGAATCAAGATAATTGAAATCATACATAAGGGAGGCTGAGGATAAAGAAGTACCACTGCATATCAGCAACTGGTAATGCAGAATCACCTAGGGAAGAGAAGTCAATTTTTAATAGTGTTTAACAAGAATATAAAAAAAATTCTGTTGCTGAAAATTAAACTCTGTTTGTGAATATGTATTTTTTAGTATTTCTAATCAGTTTGTCAGTTGTTCTGACAGTCTGGCTAGCATAACAAAAGTGTTCAAGCCAGGCAGAGGACACTGCTTTCTGATAGCACTGTCCTATGTCATGAAGACGACATTGAAAGAGCGCAGGAAGAATCTATAGAAGCTGTACAGCACTAAAATAATCTATTTCAGGGGCTGCACTGTTCAGTTGTTTACTACTCTGTCTTAACACCATATTCTTGTCATTGTGGAGGGAAATTTGATAGCCCATTAAAATCTACTCTGGTTCTTAGAATTTTCTTTTCTTTTCTTTTTTTTTTTGGTTTTTCGAGACAGGGTTTCTCTGAGTAGCTTTGCGCCTTTCCTGGAACTCACTTGGTAGCCCAGGCTGGCCTCGAACTCACAGAGATCCGCCTGCCTCTGCCTCCCGAGTGCTGGGATTAAAGGCGTGCGCCACCACCGCCCGGCTAGAATTTTCTTTTTGTAAAACATTGCAGTGTTAAAATTCTGTTAGAACACATACTAAACACCTTTAGCACCCCATAAAAAACAAAGTACCTTCACATTAATGGATGATACAGTGTCAACAAAATTGTTGAGCAAATGTGTATTTGATACATATGCATAGATTTTCTAGTCTATAAAACTTTCCTAGTTGTTTCTAATGCCCACACTTTTTTGCAGTGTAAAGTATTGAACTTTGGCCTCTACTTCTACTTCACACTCGTAGCCCATTCCTTCAAAATCACTCTGCTTTAGCCCACAATTCATTGAGAGGATATGGGTTATAATTTACATTAGGACCATTATTATCAGGAAGTTGCTTTCATTTCTGTGCATAATCGAATGTAAACTGAGAAGTTTCAACTGGTTTGTAAAAGTATTGTTTCCATTTTTTTAATTTTTGAGATTATAATGTAATAAAATTTTCCCCTTTCCTTTACTCCCTTCAAAACCCTCCCATATTCCTCCTTTTTATACGTATGGATTAAAAATTACTTTATTCAGAAAAAAAATCTTATTATATACTCCAAACCCAGCCTATTTTGTATGTTTTTTTCCAGATAATTTTGACTGGGACAAGTATTTGAAAGAGACTGATTCTGTAAGTGCACCTTCAGAATACTTCAGACAGGTATGCCAAAATTCTCCTGAGACTTTATACAGTAATGTATAGCATTCACTTGTGGTAGGGTATCTGTGTAGTTTCAGGATTCTGGTAGTATGAGAAGGTGGGATTATGTTTGTGCCACTCAAAACCAAATGTCCTGTTTGCAGTTATTTTGTTTGATATACTAAGCTCTTAAAATTGCCCATGTAGAGGGAAAGACAGAAATAGCAAATATAAGAAATGTGATAACCCTGGACTGAGAAAGCTTATGGAACAGATGCTATATAAGATTGTTAGAACGAGAAGAAAGAAAATATCCAATATAATTTAAGTATCAAGATATGGCACAGAGTCGCTGGAGTACAAGGTGGATAGAGGCACTATGGGATCAAGGTTAAAGGTGTGTAGGGGTGTTTGACATGTGCTGAAGAATTTAACTTTATCATAAACTTTGATATGACTTCTCGTTTGCTCATTTCAAGGGGAATAGCTTAATGGGATTCTTAATTTTTAAAGTCTTTCAGGATGTATTTTATAGTCTATATTTGGGTTTCTTGGATATGCAGATGAGTGAGACTAGTGATAGCCAGCGTTTTTATACTGCATGTCAGTCAAAAGGGAAACTTCGCCTTGAGCCTCATTCACCTGTTGTGACTCTACCTAAAAAACATCTCCTAAGTATTTTGGTAACATAATTTGCCATCTGTTTTTCTTATAGTTCATGTATTTTAACACAATGTTATTTATATATAGTCTAAGACTCCACCAACTAATGAATTCCAAGTTGGTATGAAATTGGAAGCCCGTGACCCTCGCAACATTGGTTCAGTGTGTGTTGCTTCTGTTATTGCAACTACTGGTGCCAGATTACGTTTACGATTGGATGGCAGTGACAATAAGAATGACTTTTGGAGACTTGTTGATTCATCAGACATACAGCCTGTTGGGACATGTGAACAGGCAGGAGATTTACTTCAACCTCCACTGGGTAAGGATACACAGTTCTTGAAATACCATAGTCTTTCACCATAGTAAGCTATTCACTAGAGGTGGTTTGAAATGTCTTTTTTTTTTTTTTTTTTTTTGGTTTTTCGAGACAGGGTTTCTCTGAGTAGCTTTGCACCTTTCCTGGAACTCACTTTGGAGACCAGGCTGGCCTCGAACTCACAGAGATCCGCCTGCCTCTGCCTCCCGAGTGCTGGGGTTAAAGGCATGCGCCACCACTGCCCGGCTTGAAATGTCCTTTTAAATATCACTTAGGCCTTCTTATAAGTATATGGCCAGGGAGTTACTGTAGAGGATATATGATTAGAGAGGAACTCAGTACCATGTCACTTGCATGCATACTACACAAGTGTGCTGAAAGGCCTCATTTTGAACAAATGTTAGAGTAATCTTCAAATTTAAAATACCATAAGAAGCTTACTTATATCATGCATATGAATTCAGAAACTCTTCTAGAGAAGAAGCCTGTAATAGTTCATATGAGTGACACACCTTGATACTTTCCACTGAGCCACTCAACACTTTCACTGTGAGGATGAGGATAGGAAGACTGTGGGATTCTACATTATGAGAGGAGTATAAGAACCAGTACTTTTTAGTTATTGAGACGGTTCTTTCATTCTTAACCATTAGACACCAAGGAACCTAGTTACTGTTAGGCATAGAAAAAGATGAGAGAATGGAAATTTTAGCAAAGGGTTTAAGTTTAAGCACATGTAGTGTTTGGTTGGGCCATGTGTTTAAAATGTGAAAAGGTTATGACATATTTTGGAAGAAAATCTTTTTAGAACTGAGGAATATCTGTAGAATCTGTAGAAAATAAGTGATTAGTTTATTTGGTCATCATTCTTCATTCCCAGTGAATTTCAAATGTTAGTTTTCATGTTCTTTACAATGCTTAAAATAAGAAATAATGTAAAACTCAGAATGAATTTTCCTTATTAGTGACATATTTCCCAAGACCCACTAATACAGAATACTGAGAATAATTACTTTAACAGATTTGTTAATTAAAATGATTGAGTTTAAGGGCTGGGGTGTAGCCCAGTGATAAGAGCACATACTTGGCATTCACAAAGAGCTGCATTCAATTCTTGTTACAATTTTAAAGTAATTTTAAAGGGGATACAGTGAAGCTTAGTGGCAAGGTGCTTGCCTAGCAGCCCCCTTTCATTGGTTTTTAAACCAGTCAGAGGTAGGTTTGTTTTTTTTTTGAGACTGGATCTCAGTAATTTAGCTCAGGTTGGCTTTGAGCTATTGATCCTCTTGCTTCAGCTTCCCAAGTATTGAGATTACAGATATGTGCCACTACACAAAAAGTACTTTTTAATTTTTCCTTCTTTTTCTTTTACACTTATTTATTGGTGTGCGTGTGAGTGTGTACACACACACGTGTCACAGAACACATGCGAAGGTCAGAGTACAACTTGGGGAAATCCCTTGTCTTCTTTGTACCATGGCGGTTCTAGGTATCAAACTCAGGTGGTCAGGCTTGGCAGTAAGCACTGAGTAACAACCATTCCATCCATTTCCACGATCACCATCTGTTTTCCTAGTTATGTTTTGGGGAATTTCAGTAAAAGTTTATTTGAGGATGACTTGGTCTGTCTAAACATTTTTGTATATGTTGACTGTTCATAGCTCTGTTGCCAGTGATTCACATGCACCCCTGTCTTAGTGAATGAATTCATCAAGAGTACATAGAAACCTTTTTCTAATTCTAGCATTTGGGGGAGGCAGGTTTTGAGTGAAAATGTTTTCCCCAGAAAAGAGTAAAACTAGCAAACTTGTAGTCCCTGCTGCATATGTGAAATGCTGATATAAGTTGGTGAAATTTCTGAATAAGCCTATTTTGGTAACTTCTGTTATAAATTTTAGGATTATGTCTAGTATGTGTAAGAATTGCTAAAGGTAGAGAAGTCTTTTTCCTAATATTTTATGAAAAGTTAAAGAATTTTACCATGAATATCCATGAACTCACTACCTCATTATTTTACCATATTGATTTATTCTTCTATCTTATCTTTATGTATCCAAGAATAGTTATTGATATTAATATACTTCCCTTAAATACTTAAGCATGCATATTGTCAACTAGAATATATATTCATTGTTTTTCTTCTTTAAAAATTTTAAACAAGATGTATTTTGTATATGTACATTTGTGAGTGAGGTTCAAAAGACATGGTCTTTTTGAAAGTCGGGGTCTCCAAGGAAAAGGGCTAGAAGCCTTTTGCAACCTTCTTCCATGTTTGCACCACCAATTCCACTATCACCATCTGTTTTCCTAGTTATATTTGGGGAATTTCAGTAAAAGTTTATTTGTGGATGACTTGGTCGGTCTTAACATTTTTGTATGTATTGACTGTTATATAGAGCTCTGTTGCCAATGATTCACCTGCACTCTTATCTTAGTAAATGTATCAACTGCGTTATTATGGCCTGTCCCCAACATAAGTGTGTTTGTTGGCAAACCCTAGTCAATGGCTTCTCTAAAATGAAAGTTTCTGGTTCCTCTTTGACATTGTTGTCAGACATCAGAGTGATGGCTGTAACTACAAGAAGATTCATCTCCTTTTACTCAAGTCCTTAGAAAGTCATTCTCTGAAGAGGATATGTGACTATAACCTGTTTGTTCTCTATTACCATAGTTTCACAGGTTTTTCATGATATCTAATTTATAAAACAGGGTACAGAATGAATGTTTCATCATGGCCCATGTTTTTACTACGGACACTAACTGGATCTGAACTGGCCCCTGCAGTGTTCTTTAAGAAGGTAAGAAAAGCATTACAAGAAATTTCTGTCCCCTAGAGCATGATTTTAATTTTTTTTTTTGATTTTTCGAGACAGGTTTTCCCTGTGTAGGTTTGCGCCTTTCCTGGAACTCTCTTGGTAGCCCAGGCTGGCCTTGAACTCACAGAGATCCGCCTGGCTCTGCCTCCCAAGTGCTGGGATTAAAGGCGTGCGCCACCACCGCCCAGCTGATTTTATTTTTTTTAATGGAACTGCTTAATATGTTGTCTTTTCCTATATGGAAAAAAGTTGTTTTTGTTTTTTTTTTAAATTGCAGGTTGGCAAATACTGAGTTAGTTTGTTAGACCACTATAACAAAGTGGAGTAGCTTACATAATAAAAAATGTTTCCCACAGTTTGGAGGCTAGAACAAGAATTAGGGTGCTTTGAAGGCTGATTTATAGTTGTCCATCTTGTGTACTTTTATGGCCTCTTCTCTGTGTGTGCAAACCTACTGAGTCTCTTCCTCTTATTATTACACCACACCAGTCAAATTGGATTAAGGGACTGTTTTCCAATGTATTCATATTGGTAGTACTTCAACAGAAATTTGTGTTAGAAGAGACACCACTCAGTTCATTATAGCAACTATAGTTCCTATGAGTTCATGAGTCTAATAGTCCTGTCACATCCAGAAATACTCTGTTTTGCTCTGGTTCTCCCTGATCTCTGGCTTTTAGAATCTTCCTGCCTTTCTTTTCCACAATGATTCCTGAGCCTTGTGATAACATAGTGTGATATGGTTATCCTATTTATAACTAAGAACATTTATTTTCTGCACGATGACCATCTGATTAACAGTTTCCTTTTAGTACAGAAGCTTTTTAAATTTCATGAAGTCAAAATTGTTGATTGTTGTATTTATTCCTGGATGACTGGAACCCTATTCAGAAAGTCTTTACCTAATACTGAAGTGTATTTCCTACTTCTAGAAGTTTTAGATCTATCATTGAGATTTATGATTCATTTGGCATTGATTTGTGTGCCGGTTGAGAGAGAAGAATCAAATTTCCTTCTATATGTATATAGCTAGATTTCTCAATACAATTTGTTTAAATAGCTATCTTTTCTCTAGGGTATGTTTTTGGCATCTCTGTCAGAAATCAGGGAGTTGTAGTATGTGTAATTATACCTGGCTCTTCAGTGCTCTTCCGTTGATCACTGTGTCTGCTTTTGTCCTGATGCCATGCTGGTTTTACTACTATGGCTCTACCCTGTAACTTGAAATCAGCAATAGTGACACCCCCACCATTGTTTTTTTTTCATTGTTCAGGATTGTTTCGCCTATCTCTAGGGTATTATTTTGGGCTTCAATATGAATTTTAAGATTGATTTTTCAGTTTCAGTACAAAATGTTTTTGGAATATTGGAGATTATACTGAATCTGTAGATTGGTTTTGGTAGGATAACCATTTTCATATTATTAACACTACCATTCCATGTGCATAGGAGGTCCCCCCTTCTTGAGTCATCTTCAGTTTTTTTCTCCAATGTTTTAAAATTTTTTACTGTAGATGGCTAGATTTATTTAAACATCAGTTCTGGAGATTGGAAGTCTGACATGAAGGTGCAGACAGGACTTCTTCTAATGCTTCCTACATTTCCCAGCATGGTCTTTCTGGTCATCATGCTTTTCATCAGCCTTACTGTTTTGTAACTGGATTCCAGAGCCCTTCCTATTTTTATCTCTTCAGAATAAAATCTCTCCTTTGATATTCTAACTCTTCTTTCCTGGAGTCAGAGGGGAAACCTTTTAAAGTGATACTTCCCTGGAAGCAGTATTTAATATTTTTGCTTGTCAGTGAATCTTAAATTTCTGCCACATGATAGAATTTCTTGTATGAGTGGATGGATCAGGCTAATTTTGTTTCCTTCTAGAAATTCTTGGCTCTGCAGGAAAAAAGTGAAATGTTAAAAGAATAGTTTGTGATTTTTAAGAATACCTTTCTTCCTGATAAATATGAAAATTGTTTTTTGGTTACTAAGGATTATAAAAGAACACACTAAAAAGATAGTTCTTAATGTATCTTAATTGTGAAAAATTTAAAAATGTTTTTGTAGGAACCACCACCGCCACCCCTAAATAATTTTAAAGTTGGGATGAAGATTGAAGCTGTTGATAGAAAAAACCCATTTTTGATCTGTCCTGCCACAATTGGAGCTGTCAAAGGAGATCAAATTCATATTACTTTTGATGGGTGGAGTGGAACATTTGATTACTGGTGCAAATATGACTCCCGGGACATCTTCCCAGTTGGATGGTGTTGCCTCACAGGAGATATATTGCAGCCACCAGGAAATATTGGTAAGCTAATATCTAATTATATGTTCTGTTATTTTAGATTTTATTTTGATGGCATTGTGTTTAGTAGTGGTGATATTAGGACTTGATGCCAAATTAGAATGGCAGGTAGACCAGTAATAACATTCTCTAGTCTAGGTACTAGAGATGATGCAAGTTTCAAATTAGGATAATTAGAATTCTTGAGAGCTCCCTAGGCATCTTATGTTCCATTTCATGCTAAGAATATTGGCAAAGCCAAAAGTCACATTTAGAATGTTAGAACCATGTTGTTATAAACATTGGATGTGTTTAGGAGATGGTTATATTTAAAATTGCTTTTGTAATTGCTATTCAATTAAAATGTATACATGAGTTCTGGGGATATAGCTCAGTGGAATGAGTGTGTAGCATGTAGAGGGCTCTGGATTCTATTCTCAACACCAAAGCCTTTTAAAAACATTTGCACATGGTATTTCATTAGTCACATCTCAACCATAATTTTAAAAGTTGGACAAAATAAGTATTTAAATATATTTTTTCTGTTTATATTTTAAAGATAAACTGATACTTTGATATTCTCAAGTAAAATCTATGCGACTCTAGCTTCTGTGGAAGCTGTTGTAGATTTCTGTTCAGTCATTGTACTATTCGTCATTTGTAATGGTGTTTCTAGATTGAATACTGTGATCATGTAGATACTGTCTTGCAGAGAAATGTCTCCAAAATATCAGAGTTCCTTGGCAACTCATTCAAGGGCTTAAGCAAGCCTGATGTGTGGTCTTTGAAATAACCACTGCTGAGATATATTGGCCTTGAGTTTAGTACAAATTTACTGGTGGAATCAAATGTAAACAATTAAAATTTACCTCAATAAATGCTATCTGTATCATAAAAAAGAAAGATAAAATAAGTAGGTAAAGAATATAGAGGAGGTTCGGGGCTAGGAAAGGGCTTATAGGTATGTTATTCTTGTAAGTGACTGCTATTGAAGTCTTCTGTGATTTAACACATCTCATTATAGTACAGTAATACATACCAGTTTCTTGCTGCTATATCTAGCAGGTAGATGTTAGTGGTTAATTTTGGTAAATAGTTCTGTTATACAGATCTATATATGATACTAAGGTAGCCAAGGCATAGTAAATCTGCCCTCATGAAATTGACCTTTTAGTGAAGAGTAATGGACTGAGGGATAAACCTGTTAAAAATTACAAAATTAGAAATGTATGGTAAATATGGAAGTAGCTCAAACTCTGGAGAGAATGGTGATTGAGTAAAGAAAAGCCTCAGAGAAAAAAACATGACTATTGAGAGAGGAGAAGTAATTCGCTATGCAGAATGGTACTGTAGGCAGGGTGTACATATCACAGGTAGAAAATTTGAATTTACTCTGAAAACAGGTGAATTTTGCTTAAGACATGGTTAGTTTGGAATGTGTGAAAAAGAATATTACCCTTGAGTACCTTCTTTTTCTTCTACATTGAGCTACATCTCCAACCTCGTGGTGGTGGGTCTGGTTATGTTTTTGTGGTGATAGAAATCATACCCAGGGCGTCTTTATATGAATTATGTCCATAATCCCTTTTGGCTTTTTTCTTTGTGTAATAACAAGAATATACTTGTACATCACTTTGTGCTTTAACTTTCAGTTTGAAAGAGATTATCCTGAATATTCTACTTCCTTGCTTATTTTTGCATACTCTTATTGTGACTGTGTAGATGATCCCTAACTTCGGATGACTACATTTACAAGTTCTGTCAGTACAATTCAGTGAAAGCAATAAATATTCAGGAGAAACCATACTTTGAATAGTAAATTTTAATAATTTTCTAGTCTAGTAATATGTGATAAAATATTTTATTATGCTAGGTACTGGCAGTGGACAACAAGGCGAAAAACAAATGCTTTGATGCTTTTGTATGCTGTGTTTATGTTTTCACAATGGGCTGGGGGGAAGGTGAGGGGGGCTGGAGGGGGGAGAACAAGGGAATCCGTGGCTGATATGTAGAACTGAATTGTATTGCAAAATAAAAATAAAAAATGCCCATATGTATCTCTTACATCCATATACTTTGTGATATTTAGTTTGAGTACAGTTTTTAATAAATTAAGGTACCCAATATTTTATTTTAAAATGGAATTTTTGTTAAAGTTAAATGATTTTACAAAACTATAAGCAAATATAAATGTTCTGAGCATGTCTTAAGATAAATTAGGTTTAAGTTAAAGCTATGATATTCAGCAAGCAGTGTATCAAATGCATTTTGACTATCAAAATGCAATCCCATCATAACTTGAATAACATATTCCTGTGTAAAATATATCCTACAAATTGCAGTTTAATTCTACATGCATTCCATCATATGGCTGTACATAATTGACTTAACTAAATTTCTGTTTTGTTAGATATTGAAGTACTTTCACATTTATGTTATTAGACTACATGCTATAAGTACTTTTATGTACATATACTTGCATTCCTCCATATTCCATACAGTAATTTTGCTGAAGTAGAGAATGTGTTTTTAAGCTAAAAAATTGTATTTCAGGAAGACATATATATTACCCTCTGAATTAGGTAAAATATTTTTCTCTATCCTGCCCAACCTTGGGAAAAGTCTTTCTAATTTCATTATTTTTACATTTTTCATTCCATAATTTGCTAATGAGTTTAAAGCTTTTTCTTTCCGTAAGTTTTGGGTATTAATATTCCTTTATAATTGTCTACTAATCACCTTTTTCCTCATTTTTCATCTTAGAATACTACTTTTTTAAAACTAGTTTGTCTGTTTCATTTATTGCACAGCTTAAACCCATGTCCCCCAATTAAAATTATTTTCCTCAGTCATTTGATTTTTAACATTATAGTCTTTTTTCAACTAACAAAAGTCTTTATTGACTTAATAATTTAAGGGCCTTACTTTTAACTATTTTCAAAAGGCATAAATAATAGTAAGATAATCAGATTTTGTAAAATTAAAATTTTTGTATTCATTTTGAGTATTTCTTAAATATACTATAAATGTTTTCGAACTTATAAACAATTTCTTTTTCATAGCACTTAAAACTTTTGAAAAATAATCATTAAAAGCAATAAAGTTGCAGTGAAACATGAATACTACTTGATTTAGAGAACAGTAATAAAGTTTAATTTGCTTTAAAACTTCCATTTTTTAAAATTCTGAACATTTCTATGATCAGAAATAATGGAGTTTTTAATTGGGCTTTGCAGGGGTTAGTAAATATATGCTTTTTTCGTATTTATCCACATTTTCTTTTCCAGGCTCTTGTTTCTGTTCCAGGCTCTGTCCTCTCTTTCAAAGCTCATTGTGACGTCACAACTGATCAGATTTCTTTGCAAGAGTGTCAGTACAGGGTATCTAGTGAAAAAGGTAGCAGAGCTGCATATGTGTTGCTGTGTCTTTAGCAACTTGGAGGAGACAGTCCCATAAGTGAAAACAGGGCCTATTGCGATTTTCTTTCAACAATTTATTTGACCTCGCTCTTTTCTTTTTTTCAGTTTCTTACACTCCCATATCTTCTTTGTAAATCTCAGTTGCCTTTAGATCATTTATATACTGATAGAAATTTAATGATTCCTTATAAACTATTACTTATTTTTCTCATAGTGCCCTTCCCATGTCTCCAGCATGTTATAGAACTTTACCACCAGTCATTACAAATATATAATACAGGAAGGAACAAACAGGATATGCCAGTAATTTAGGATCGTAACTGGAATGACCCCTCTTTTTTAATATATGAAGATATTTTTCTTTCTTTTTTTGGATGGGGATATACATTTGTCATTCGAGGCATTCAGAAGAATAAAATTCTGTTTAAAAAAGTGCCCCAGGGGCTGTAGAAATGGCTTAGTGTTTAAAAGCACTGGCTGCTCTTCCAGAGGACTTGGGTTTTATTCCCAGCACCTATATATCAGCTTACAACCTTTTGAAATACCAGTCCCAGGGTATCTGATAAGCTCTTAGGTCTGCTGAAGGCACTATGCATGGCATACACATTATGCATAGAAATACATGCAGGCAAAACATACACATAAAATAAAAATTAATAAATTAAAAAATTTTTGCCCCAGTAATTTTCCTAAGATTATGAAATTATTCAGTCTTTAAGAAATAGTTCTATTGTAAATGTTTTACTTTGCTTTAACAATCCTTAAGTACTTTAAACATAAACTATGTAAATTAAATTTGAACTTAAATAGTTTCTCAAACAATGAGTTTTTAAAATTTAGCTACATATTTATATATTATTGATTATACTAATTATCTTCAGTTGTGTGAGGTTGTCTTGTGCTTACAGATATTGTCCTTTTGCTGGTCTACTAGTCATCTGTGTTTGGGGTTATATCACTTTAGGTGCTGATTTTTTTAGTTTATCCTTTGTTGGATGGATACTTTTTGGATGTTTTTTCCTCTTGCTTTCTGTTTCCTCTCTGGTCTTTTGGCCTGAGTGACCAATTGTAACATTATGTACTAGCATGAAGAGCAGGAAGCAAACTGTCACATGATTTGGGTCTATAAAGTTGCAGGATCTCTAGGGTATGGAGGAATTTCTTCTAAGAGGAACTCTGGAGGAGGGGTAGATCCAGCAAGGTGTAGCTATGCATTACTATTTAATTTGTACCATTCCTAGGGTTAAAGTAAAAGAAAAATGAAGTAGATCTTAACCATGATTATCTTTGTATTATTTGCTATTTCTTTGAATGTTTATTTTATACTTTCATGCAGGAGTGCATAAATACTTAGGTTTTTCTTCTTAACTAAAACTCTAAAGGAGTAGATTTTGATATCTAAATTTGATCCTCTAAAAATGTGTAACTGATTCTTTTATGTAGTCTTCCCTTATTTTGGAAAAATAGCATTTAGCATTTTTCTTCTTAACTGTTTCAAAGTTTGTCTCTTGGGAAGTATTTCACACCTTTAATTTGCAAATAAGAAACAGCTTTATTTTCTATTTTTTATTACCCCCCCAACACACACATCAAAACATTTAAGTT